AGCTGACTGGAAGTCCAGTTTCCCCACCATAGAGTCTCCTCCTAGCACGGCATCCTTTTTCCTCTGCCGACTGGAAGTCCGGTTCCCACCACTACCACCATAGAGTCTCCTTCTAGCATGGCATCCTTTTTCCTCTGCAGACTGGAAGTCCGGTTCCCACCACTACCACCATAGAGTCTCCTCCTAGCACGGCGTCCTTTTTCCTCTACCTGTCCTAACCGAAAGCCCTATCAACTGTGGAGGCGACCGGCGACTGGGAGCCGCAGCAGAGGGATGAAAGAGCCACATGCGGCTCCAGAACCACAGATTGCCGACCCCTGCCCTGAGCTAACCCCACAGAGATGCTGAGGAAGGACTCAGGGGTTCATTGGGAGGGAGCTGCCTGCAGCGCCAAAATGGCTCCGCCATACGGAAAGTTGCCCTAGGAAGCAGGGAGGTCTCAGCCAGTTCCTCGCCGAGGACTACTCACTTGTTCTGCAAGTCAAAAATGCGCTGGCATTCCTCCTTGTACCGCTCCTGGTGCTCTGCCACAGAGAAGCGGGACCCTCGGGCAAACTTACTCATGGGACCCTCGCCTGAGCGAGCCTGCTCGGTGGACATTGTCCGCACGACGTCGATCACTTCCCAGCGGGAAAGCTTCTTGATCTGAGGAAGGACAGTCATTGGCTGCGGAGGGCCCCGGGAAGGCTCAGCCCAGAGGAGCCAGCTCCTTACCCGCACCCACCTCCTCTTCGGGGACTCCAAACTTGCGCAGGAGCTGCTTGGCGTTTTTCAGGGATAAGCGCCGGAGGTCGGCGTCTGTCCCCGTGACCGTCTTCTTCACCGGTTGTGGCTCCTTGTCATCCTGCTGGAAAAAGAGCAAGGGCCGTCCATCCACATCTCAGCCCTTTCTTTCCATGGCTCCACGCTTGGCACCACACCAGAACCCCCCTAGTGTGAGGCTCCCTGTATGTTTGTAAAGCATTTCCGTGCCTATTATCAAGTTGGCACCCAACAGCTTCAGGATCTGGCCAGGAAGTACCCCAGGCCTCTTCTGCGGGCCGAATGGAGCAGCTGGTCCTGGACGATTGCCAGCCCTAGAGAGTCCTGGTGGCAGGGCAGGCCCCTGCGGCCACCTGGGTCCTCCACTTACCTTCTGCTGCGTCGGCTTGTTCGGGATCTTGACGTAGGAGAAGCCTTCGCCACACCCTGTTGGGTCTGCTACCCCGGTGACCTCGAGGAGGCATTTCCCTTTCATGGCTGCAATGAAAGCCCGGGTGGTGTTCCAGGGAGCCGTGCGCACCTGAACGGAAGAGACACGGGGGAGAGAGGCTGGCGTTGCAGAGAGAGGGAGGACTCCCTTCCTCCCTCTGCAAGAGAACAAGTGGCCCCTTAGGGGCCCCAGCTGTTCTCTGCTCTATACCTCGTCATCGATCTTCATCTGGAAATCCTCCTCGTTCTCTTCCTCGGGGGCAAAAAAGGATTTCTCTCCGTAACCTGCATCCTGAGAAAGAGACCCAAACCCTTCCTAAGTATCCGAGGCCCATCGAGGGCACAAGGGGCTGCAGCTCCAGGAGGCCCCACACCTGGGCCTGCCCTCCCCTCCCCTGTGGGGTGCCTTGTTTCCCCAAAGAGGCCGACAGCAGGCAGGCCAACTGACCTGATCTCAGCCCCCTTTTTCAGCTCTCCTAGAAGAGCCCAGGGGATCTGTGCTGCTTCTCCCCCTCCCCACAGCCAGAGACCCAAGAAGCAGAGGGAGGCTTCTCTCTTCTCCAACTTGCTGAGAACATACTGAACCATGATTTCTGAAATCATGGTTTGATTGGGGGGGGGAGAGGGAGACAACACAGACTCACACGTAACATTAAACTGTAAATGGGCCCTACAACTCAAGAATGGACATTGAAAGTTACAAATTTAGCTGAGATGGCTAAAATATCGGCATATCTAAAATATCGGCATATCTTAAATAAATATCGGCATATCTNCAGAGAGGGCATAAAACCAGGGACTCAGCATCTCACTCTCCCTTCCTTTCTCTTCTCCACCAACATTGAAGCATGTGATGGTCTTATCTTCTGCAACAATGTGGTCCTGTCCAACAATAAACCATCTTTCCAAGCGGCCTCCATGTCTCCAGTGTCTTTTTTCCCCACTTGGAGTCGAACTCAGAAGGACATGTCTTTCATCAACACTTGGCCAGGAAAGAATTCTATTCTATCAGCATTGTGTGGCTGCAGAGGTATACAATGAAGAGGGCCCCACAACCCCTAAGCAATCTTGACCTCCCATAAAACAGGTGGGATGTGAATGTCAGAACCGAATGAAGAGACATTGCCTTGCTCTTCAGAAGCATTCCGATCCTATTGTCACAACTACAAAACAAAGAATTGTGCGGTGGGCTGCTTTCCAATCCAGTGCTTGGGACGCAACAATGCATGTAACAAAAGGGCTGGATTTAGCAGCTAGACAACACAATACTCAGTTCATACCTGGGACTCCGGCCCACGAGCAGAATCATCCATCATCATTTAAGGATAATTCCAGGCTGACTGTTTTTAAATCCGTATTAAATGCCCAGCATTGTGATGGGATCAAGTGGGCTGCAAATATGCTCCTATGGTAGCTAATAAAGAGTGATGAAGGCAAATGAAAGGAACAATGGGAATACCTTGAACTTATCGAGAGGAGGGTCCAGAGATGCATATTCTGAATTTAAAATTATGAAAACAAATAAAATGTGGATAAGAAGCAAGTGACTTATAGACTAGGTTCAGGCGTAAGGCTAAACCAGCGGTCACCAACTGGTGGTCTGTGAGAAAATGTTGGTGGTCCGCTGAAAAATTATTTGCATTTTTTTATGTTGCATTAAATCTGGGGTCCTCAAACTACGGCCCCTGGGACGGATACGTGCAATGAACGCTTGTGTTGCTGCAGAGAGTCTCCACTTTCGTTGTTAATACTTAAACTCCCACAGCTTCAACCTCAAAATGTACCATGGCCCATTCCTAAGAGGTCCATAAAACGGGCGTGCATAGGAATAACTGTTAGGTATAACTACTGATTGTACTGTTACAGAGACTAAACTTGATTCTGTATTTAATAACGACAGCAAGACTGTCGTTAAATGGGATGCCATGGAGCTGGGATGGGTGGGCGGGGCCAAAATGGGATGCCATAGAGCTGGGGTGTGTGGGCAGGGCCTAAATGGGATGCCATAGAGCTGGTGTGGGTGGGCGGGGCCTAAATGGGATGCCATAGAGCTGGGGTGGGTGGAGCCAGAAGCAGTTTCCGCTACTGTTTCGGATGAACTGGTCTGAACCGGCTGAATACCACCTCTGGGCTCAATATTCTCTCCATACGTCCAGAAGTAGGAATTCATAATGTACTCCTGCTGAATTCCAATCTCCAGCTTTTTTCCTTAACAGCAGTCTCAAGCCAACCCAATTATTTAGTGTTGAGAAGATTTTAGTCCTGAGTTTGGCTAATGGCTGACAGATTACTCCATCTCCAGCATAGCAGGCTTCAGAGCAGAATGGAGTAATGATAGGAGTTATTATTAGAGCAGCCATATAGTGTCTGTTTAATATTTAACATTCATTTATCCCTTCTTATGAGAAGATGTCAATTTTCCTTAGTGGAGGTGGGGAAAAAAAAGATAAAATGAGTATTTTGGGGGGGGGGAAATATATTAAACCCTCTGCTCATAGATTGAGCGATGGGAGGATAATCAAATTGTTGTCTTAAATGACCAAGGAAAATTGATCCTGCTCTCCACTTTTGAAGAGCTGCAGCTAAAGTTGCACTATTGTAAGGCTGTATTTTTATTTATCTATACAGAAATAAAACTACAAATGGGTTATGTCAAGAGCCGGGAAAATCAGGAGGTTGAGGGAGTTCAAATGAATATATAGGTTTATTACAAGCTCATGCAAGCTTATTCTTCTACAACAGGGGTGTCAAACTGGATTTCCTCGAGGGCCAGGTCAGCATTGTGGTTCTGGCTGGGCGGGGTGGGTGGGGGAGATGGGACGGGCACCTCCTGCAGCACTCTGCCAGCCAAAACAGGGTGTGAGGGTGCTGCACCTTAGAGCCGAGGTGGCGCAGTGGTTAGGGTGCAGTACTGCAGGCCACTTCAGCTGACTGCAGTTCTGCAGTTCGGCTGTTCAAATCCCACCAGGCTCAAGGTTGACTCAGCCTTCCATCCTTCCGAGGTGGGTAAAATGAGGACCCAGATTGTGGGGGCAATATGCTGACTCTGTAAAACCGCTTAGAGAGGGCTGAAAGCCCTATGAAGCGGTATATAAGTCTAACTGCTATTGCTATTGCTATTGCGCCCCCCCCAAGCCCCATTTGTGGCCTGGATAGCCTCCTGCCAGCTAAAACAGGGTGGGTGGGGGCACGTGAGGTCCAGGAGGAGGCCATCCAGGACAAAAATGGGGTGCAAAGGGGCCTCATGTATCCCCCCACCGCGTGCCTGATTTTGGCCAGCAGATTTTGCTTCAGGAG